CTTTATTGAAGAAAGACTATCGCGACAGGGTGTTCCCCTCACTTGCAGGTGAGAGGAAAGACAAAGAAAAATAGTGTGCAAGGTCTTATAAAAACTTTTGAAATTCCCCTCCTCTGGTCAAGCCCACCCCCAGAAACATCATGCATACATTACAGAAAGGAGGGGTTGAGGGAGGAGTTGGTGGTAACCTGAGTGTCTTGTCACCTGGCTGGTTCCTCCCCCTGAGTCACTTCAGGAGACAAAGGGGAGTTTGCAGTTTCCTGCCCCCAGAGGGAAGATCTGATCATTGTCCTTTGATTCAGTCCATGCTGAATCCACTCCCATATGCAAGTTCTTTGTGATCTTGATTGTCTTCTGTCTGGGATCATCAGGGTTGGCATAGCAACTGGGCAGGGCTCCTGTGGATGTGCTGGGATGGTGAAGGGATTATGGCTGACCAGAACCAAGCCACCCACCCTGTTACGGAAAATTCCGGGTGCGGAGTTACCCTTGCCACCCGGCTCGTCGGACGAAGTCCGCGGGTCCTAGCGGAAGAAATGAGCTCAGCCGGAGACAGGAGCAATAAACGGAGATCCAAAGTTTATTGCGCAAACAGGTTCAAAATGGCATTGAACCCCGAGAATGGGGCGACATAAACTTTTTAAAAGTTCCCTCCAAGTCCCAGAATACAGTGCAACAAAACGTCATGAATACATTAAAAGAAGGTTGGGTTTTACAGGTTACATCATGAATACATTACAGGAAGGTGGGATTACATGGATTAGCATTTTAGGAAGGGAGGGGAAAAATATGCAGAGTAAGAGATTATGCACAGATAAACACAGATAAACGTTTCCTGAGTACAGGTGATGGCAAGACAATGGCGCAGATATGCATCGTCTGCCACCTGGCATCGCCCGGAGGAAGGGTTCGGCAGAACGATCTGACAGGATTAAGGTCTTCCTGAGTACGTGACCTGCCGCTCAGGGGATCATGGAGGTAGGGGCAGCATCATGGAGTCCAGAGGGAGCCGAGTAGAATGACGTCAAGATGGAGGAAATCGGAGCTTTGGGTTGATTTTATATTAATTTCCAAAGTTTCGGCACTTTGCCGGTCAAGTGTATGTTGAATATCAGAAGCGGAAACAAAATGGATACATTGTAACAAGACTTTGACAGTTTTACGAGGTCGCTGGTTTCGGTTCCATTGTTCTCGCAGCAGGGGGCTGTCAACAGGCTTGTCAGGAGGTTAAATGAGGCGTGCAAGAGCTCCCTGAGCTGGCTCCTGCAGGAGAATGCACGGTCCTGATTGGCTGAGGCGCGGCCATTATAGTCAATGGAAAATGCGGTTCGATACGGTCTACCCATGTTAAAAATAGGGCGAAAGGAAGGGCTTAAGGAAGAAAGGGCTTATTTCGCCCGTATATAGAAAGAAAGGATACTAATTTATAAGGTCAGGGGTATAGTGTGGTGCTTGTGCGACAGTGTGGGGGTTGGGGCGTCACAGTAGAGTTGGGCGCTGTCGAGGTCATCGCCTCGGGCCCTTGTAAGGAGGAGGAGGGCTGAGGAAAGGTGCCCCCCCTCCTTCCGTATCACACCCCCTTTTGATAGTCCTTGTCATATTGTTACGGAAGGGGGGGCATGTCTTCTTCACCTTCTTCACTACAATATATCCATTTATTCCCAATTGTCAATGTCAAAGGGGACTAAAATCTATAAAATCCATAGAAAATCAACGTGCCAATTTGCTCAATTTCTCTAGGACTCCATCACCCCCCCCCCCCCCGTCTTCCATAATCCCTCAAGTAAAGTGTCAAGACCCTAATCCTGTCAAAATCACTCTGCCAAAACCTTTCCTCCGGGCAATGCCAGGTGACAAACTATGCATACATTGGCCATTGTCTTCCCATCTGGCACTCAGGAAGCGCTTATCTGCGCATATCTCCAGCTCTGCATATTCCCCCTCCCTCCTCATTATGTTAATCCGGTGTAACCCAACCTCTCCTTAATGTATTCATTATTCATGATGTAATCTGTGTAACCCAACCTTTCCTTAATGTATTCATGATGTAACTGGGATGTATTTTGCACTGTATCCTGGGACATGGAGGGAGTTTCAAAAGTTCATGTCACCCCTTTCTTGCTGTTCAATCTGGTCTTGAACCTGTTGCGCAATAAACCCTGGACCTCTGCATTTTGCTCCTGTCCAGCTGAGCTCATTTTCTTCCGCAGGGACCCGCGGACACTTAGTCCGACGAGCTGGGTGGCAGTGTAGCCCCGCACCCAGATTTAGCCGTAACAATATGGAGTAAATAAAAATGGAACAGTGCAAATCCAATGTATGGTTGATTTTTCTATGAATTTATAACAGAAGTGTGGCGTATGTAGTGTGTGAGTGTGTGTGAAGTTTGTACAAACAGAATGATTGGGGGGGGGTTCCTGCTACAAGTCAAAACCAGTTAAAGAAATTATTTGGCGGTATTGCGTTCTTATATTGACCGAAAAGGTCTCCATTCTTCTTTCTGTATTTTCGTCTTTCTGGTTGCCCCAAAGAGCAAGAAGCAAAGGCAGCTCCGTCATGTCCGCTTCGCACAGGCCGGGGGGGGGGGCTCCTCTACAGCCATAGCTCTAGGGGCACGCGAAGTGTTTCCCAGGCAGGAGGGACGAGAGGCGGGAAGTTGGGGAAGGGGAGGAGGGGCGACAATGGAACAACGCCCCCCTTTATATTGCAGGAAAGGGAAATCGGAGTAATATCAGCAAGGGAGTCGGAGGGCAAGAGAGGACCCAGAGGTAAGGAGGCCAAGTGGGGGGAGGAGGAGAGGGGCGGAGGGAAAGGGGCAGAGACTCCTGTCCTGGGACCCACCGACAGGGGCCCAGATCCATGCATAACCCCCGCAGGGTCTGCATTGCACCATCTCCTTGGAAGCCCCACCACCAAACTCCCGTTTCTCTTTCCTGGGGGGCCGAGAGATGCTCGGCTGCCCTGCAACCCCTTGGACGCCTTGGCCCCCATCCCCAAGCAGGACTGGGGCGAGGCCGCCTTGGTGGGTCCCTTTGGGGGGGGAGAGGGAATCGATGTAAGAGTTAAAGGAAGCGAGAGAGCCTGGACTGGGTGCCAGAGAGGCCAGGAAAGAGACCCCCTCCTTCTCTCCGCCCCCTCCCCTTGGGTGGTCCCTCTGGATGGAGAGGGGGGTGCGCTGGGGAGAGAATGGGCGCGCAGGGTGAGTTGGGCCAAGGAGAGACAGGGGGCAGAGGAAGTTGTGGGGGCTGAGGAGAGAGGAATGGAAGCAACATCCCTGGGGCAGGGAAGCCCAGCTTGCAGATTTGGAGACTCCATGTAAATGAGAATTGGTGGGTGGGATTATAGTGTACAGCAGCCCTGTGATATTCTCCTTCTATAACTTTTCATGAGCTGATATTGCCATACAAGTTCCAAAATAACTACGCAAAATCTACAAAGAGAATCAAAGGTCAATGGTGGCGTGAGCTTTCCAGGTCCAGAATCCTCAACCTCAGGCTTAAGCACACAAAAGCTGAAGCCATAATAATGTAAGAGGTCTGTGGTGCTCAGTGTTTAGGTATATTAAATATTTGGATTTAATTAGAACTTGTGTCTTATAATGTGGATATGTTTCTAAATGTATCTTAGAAAGGGAGTTCTGCAAAGGGTTTTATGTGTTTGATTCGTGTTTCTGGGTAAATGCGGTGTGTCAGACTTTGAGAATGTAATCAAGAAGGTATAGGAAAGTGTGACCTGCTTCTGAGCATCAGAAATGAGCATGGAAAAAGTTAATTAACTCGTGTAAATGCCTTAAGTGTGTACCAGTTCTTTAATCCTCCTCAAACAAAAAGTGCTGATGAACACAGGGAAACTCCTTTGTTAGGTGACACCTGGGGGGGGATTAATAATTAATACTTCAAAGCATCAAAAGAAGTAAATTGGTGCAGGATGATTTGGGAATGTGTGCAGTTGATTGGACTGTATCAGGAAGATGTTGAAGATCACAGAGGAAAGAAGAAATGAAATACAGATATTCAGCATTTTCAAAAGAGGGGGAAGATGGAGAAAGTGCGTCCCCCCCCCCAGATAAGACTCCCATCCTCCCTGGGCATGGGCCATTCTTGCTTGGGCAGGTGGTACTTTGAGTCCAACCACATCTGGAGGGCCAGAGATGCCTCAACTCAGCATAGAAGGTTCCTCTCCAAGGTGTCCACATTCAGCAGTGTAGCAACCCCTGCCAGCACAAGGGAAAGAGCTTTTTAAAGGAAATTGTTCACCCCCAAAGCTACTTGCTTAGGATCATACAGTGGGTCCGCCAACCTGAAGCGCCAGAGCTGCCCCTCCCCCCGCCCTGCCTTCCTCCACTGCTGCCCACACTTAAGGAATGTCTGTATGAAATCCCAGAAATGTCTGGCTCCTGTTCCAAAGAGGTCCAGTGGATATTCTAGAAAAAAGTGGCTAAGATTCTGAGTCACAATTGTGGCTGAGAAATACAGCCAGAGAGTATGAAACTTTATTATTATTATTATTATTATTATTATTATTATTATTATTATTATTACACTCAGGTGGACACACCACTGTTTTCATCATTTTTCTTTTCTTTCCCACAATCAGTGTTATTCACCTTTAATATCCACCTTTTTCAGTGTGACACATATTTTTATCTTGTGATCTTCAGATGAAAAACAATATACAAATTTACTAAATAATTCCCAGTTGGAGCAGAGCTAGAATATCCAGAAGCCCTTGGCCACCCACGGGAAAGGAGGAAGAACAGTGAGAGAGGCCTGGACAGGGAATCTCCGCTAAGATAAGCCAGTGTCAGGAGGCGGGTGCGAGACATGGCGGCATATAATTATTATAAATCATAATTGGGGTTGGTGTCTCAATCTGGCCTTCCCAGCAATCAGGCTCCAGCTGCTTTCCTTTTGCATCTCCAGCTCTCTCCATGTTATTTCAAGGCTGACAGATGGTGGTCCAACCCCAAGTACATTCTCCTACCTGAGCACTCCTTCAACCGACCACAAGCACCAAGCCTTCTCACTAGACTTATATATGGGTCTCCAGAAATGGTCACTATGCACCTCCTGAGGCCAAAGGGAATGTGCAGGTGATGAATAAAGATCTAGAGGTTGAAGGGGACAAAATGTGGCCCAAGGGGTGGAGGATTATAGTGCAGAGGATGAAGAACTTCATGATGAACTTAGGACCCTGATGAATAGTGGGCGGGTTCATGGACATAGAGCAGCTCCCTTTCCTGTGAGAAACCACTTTATTTAAAAAGTAAACCCCACTGTATTCTGAGAGAATGCTGCTTCATTAACGTTGATTAAGGGTAATGAAAGGCTGATGATGCATTACCATTATTTAACATTATTTCATGTGCATTTCCTAAAAATCCAGAACATATGGAGGACAGGAGAGAATTTACAAGATGTTAAAATAAGAGCAGGTGCTAATTGATGTGTGTAATATTCCTTTCTTCTCTTCCTAGAAAACAAATAGGATTTCCCCCCCCCCCATCGAAAGAAGACAATGAAGAAGGCAGTCAGAATTCTGGGGGCCCATGTCCAATGGGAATAACGAAGAAACTATTTAAATGCATAGAAAGAGTGGAAAGAGAGATAGTGTGGAAAGACAGAGGAGAAACAATTTGAAAGTATGGAGTGTGGGAAGAGCTTCAGTGACAGTGAAACACTTAGAAAACATCAACGGACTCACACAGGAGAAAAGCCATTTAAATGCATGGAATGTGGAAAAAGCTTTGGTTCGAGTTCAAACCTTCGTATACATAAACGCACACACACAGGGGAGAAACCATATAAATGTACTGAGTGTGGAAAGAGTTTCAGTCAGATTGGACACCTTAGAAACCATCAACGGACCCACACAGGGGAAAAACCTTTTAAATGCATGGACTGTGGAAAGAGCTTCACTGATAGTGGAACATTCAGAAAACATCAACGAACTCACACAGGCGAGAAACCATTTAAATGCATGGATTGTGGGAAGAGCTTCACTGATAATAAAGTACTTAGAATTCATCAACGGACTCACACAGGGGAGAAACCATTTAATTGCATGGAGTGTGGAAAGAGCTTCATTCATAGTGGAACACTAAGAGGACATCAACGGACTCACACAGGGGAGAAGCCATTTAAATGTATGGAGTGTGGAAAGAGCTTCAATTATAGTGGAACACTTAGAAAACATCAACGGACTCACACAGGGGAGAAGCCATTTAAATGTATGGCGTGTGGAAAGAGCTTCAGTAGAAGTGAAAGCCTTAATTTACATCACCAAATTCACACAGGGGAAAAACCATATCAATGTATGGAGTGTGGAAAGAGCTTCACTTATAGTGGAACACTAAGAAACCATCAACGGACTCACACAGGGGAGAAACCATTTAAATGCATGGAATGTGGAAAGAGCTTCAGTTGGAGTGGGCAACTGAATTCACATAATCAAACTCACACAGGGGAGTGACTATTTAAATGTATGGAGTTTTGAAAGAGCTTCTTTCAGAGTGGAACCTTTAATTCACACACGGGAAACTTAGAAGACATCAACAGACACACCTGGGCAAAAGCATATAAATGTATAGAGTGTGGAATGTGGAATTCCTGGAATGTGGAAAGAGCTTTTATTGGAGTGGAAACTTTAGCAAACACCAGCAAATTCACAAAGGGGAAACCACTTACTAAAATGGAGTGTACGTAGAGCTTCAGTTCTGCTGTTCTTACAAAACATCAATGGACTCACAAGGAGGAGGAGCTTTAAGAGCTGAAACCCTACAAACCCCCAAAACTGAAAATGCCAAAATGATTTGAATGAAAGGAGTGCAGGAAGTGCTTCTGTTAAATTATATATATACATATATATTATTTTATTTACAGATTGCAACATACTTTCGAGGTACACATTTGTTTCACATATGACTTCCTCTCCATGGTTTCCCCACATAATTTTAAAAATTGCTGTATATTTCAGATTTTCTACAGCTTACCTTTTCTACACTCTTCTCCAACAAGTATTCAACTGTTTTTTTTTTCATTCAGCTCCTACCTGTGTTTGTACATGTTTACAAAAATGCTTTAAATATTCAACAAAAGGTTTCTACTCCTCCTTAAAGTCTGCCTTGATCTCTTATTTTCATAGTTAAATTTGCCAAGTCGGCATATTCCATCACTTTTAACTGCCACTCTCTTGATCAAGTGTAGGAATCTCTTGATTTTGCCATTTTTGTGCATAAAGTACTCTTGCTGTTGTCGTTCATCTGTCTTCTTGGAACATCTAACCCAGTTATCCCTAAAAGAAATGCTTCATGGTTTCTGCAGGAGCATCACCTTAAGTAATTTTCCCCCTCGTTATAATTCATCTCCCCAAAGCACCTAACCGCTTTACATGTCTAGCAGATATGGAGAAAAGTACCTTCTGTTTCTTTACATTTCCAAGATATATATCTGACTCAAGCTTACTCAGTTTCAGATACTGCGTATAAACCATTTTCATAAAATTTTATTTCAAAGCCTAACACACTGTGAATTTTACATTCAATTTCCTCAGTTTTTCCCATGCTTCCATCTCTAGACCAATGGATTGTAGATCACTTGTCTATAATTTGCCATTGTAAGAGCATCTTCTAAATGAATTTTTCTTTGTTCTCTAGTAACTCTTTTTCAAACTGAGAACTTTGCTTAATAAACCCACACTTCTTATTTTGTTTTAAGACTTCAGTCAGTTGATAGTATTCCAACCAATCTGTCTCCTGATCTTAATATCCTCTGACTTCTTTAACATTGCACCCTCTTCTGTGAAGGCCGATAGCTCCCTATAGGTCACCCATCTCTTTTCCATGTTCAGCTTCTTTTGTGAGATTGCTTCTATGGGCGAAAGCCAGAAATATGTTTTCCTTTTCAACTAATCTTTATACATTTCCAAAACTCTAAATAAGTTTTTCCTAATTACATAATTTATTTTTAAAAAAACATACCTTCGCTTTACATGCATCAACATGCATGCCAGCCAAATTTATTACCGTATGCTTCTACAGTGGAACCTCACTTATCCAGGCTAAACTTATCGAAATAATAACCGTTAAGAGGGACCAACTGGCCAAAGACTTGCCTCATGTTGTAATGTTTAGTTTTGCTCCTTATGTTATTTTCTTACAGTTTTCTTTATTATTAAAGCTTAGTTTACATTTACATAAACGACTTATTTTTCTCAAAGAAAAAGGAACTCTACTGCAGAAAGGTGTGGAATGTCCTAAACGTGGGTGGGCGAGGAGGGTTGAATTTTATCTGTGTGAACCACCCCCCTTCCCCACCCCTTCCCCACCCCCCTTCCCCCACACAGCCAGCACTGCTCAGCATTCAGGGAAATGGAAGAGGGAAACTGGCCACGATCCAGGAGGCAGGTCACCAGAAAGCAAAGCAAAACCTACTGAATAATAATAATAATAAAATTTTATTTATACCCCGCCTTTCCTGGTTCAGAAAACGGCTCAGGGCGGCTAACAACAAATTTAAAACACTTAACTGATACAACAAAGAACGGCATAAAATACAATATAAAACGTGAATAATGATAAATTCAGAATTCAAAGATCAATTTAGGGGGAATGGCGGAGCTGAAGTAGGCGGGGAAGCCCCACAAGCCCCCCTACTAGAGGAATTAGTAGCACTGACCCCATACTCAAAGCCGATGGCCACTTCTGAGACCAGGAAATAATTCCACCCACCTTGTCACATGCAGCTGGGCTCACTTGCCAGAGCCCACTAGAGAGCTTGTCTCCACAGGCAACTGGGTGCAGCCCACTTGCCCCCTGCTTGTGGCTCAGGGTGGCCCTGCACTGCAGGGGGCTCCCTCTCTCAGGTGTGGGGAACTTCTGCAGAGGGAGGGGTGTGTGACATGGCCTCTTTCTCCCTGTCTACCTCCCATCACCCAATCCCGGGAGGTACCTCGTGGCTCTCACCTAGGGGAAAAAAGAGTGCCCTTTTTGCTCCAGGCGAAGTGCTGATATATCTGGTGCTGAAGGGTGGGGAGTGGCGAGAGAGATCTTTGTGCCCAAAGTCTCTGCCACCTCCTCACCCCAGGGGTTTGGCCTGTCTCTGGACTGCACCACTTCAGCCTGCAAGGAAGACCCTGTTGTGGCCTTGCATGTGAGTGACAAGGCAACACTCAAGAACAGTTCCCACCAACCAACATTACATCATTCCACCACTGCCACAAGAGGGCGATCTTTCCTCTACACATGGTAGAATCCTAGAATTGCAGAGTTGGAAGGGACCACGAGGGTCATCTAGTCCAGCCCCCTGCAATGCAGGAATATTTTGCCCAAAGTGGGGCTCAAAACCCCCGACCCGTAGATTCAGGAGTCTCATGCTCTACCGGCTGTGCTCTAAAAGGGAGAGTTTCAGTTCAAGCAGAGCCCAGAATAATTAGGATTATCATACTGTAAAAACCAGGACACCCCCAAAATTGCAGAACTTTTTCTTTTTTTAGACAAGACCCCAAAATGCCAAAAAAGCCCATGAGTTTTCAGTTGGCTTTTCTTAAATCCAGGACAAAGTGCCATCTTTTGGAAATCCCCCCCCCCCGGACGTCAATTCCACCTTTGAAATCTCAGGAAAATCCAGACGTATGGCAGACCCACAATAATACACCTGGGGGGGAAATGGTTCCGCAGGTTTTCAGGGAGGGGAAGACTCACTGGGACCTGCAGGAAACCTCTGAGCCTGTAGGAGGGAGGGGGGCAGAGAAGTTGGGGGGCTGAGGAGGAAAGGAAGCATCATCCCTGGGGGAGGGAAGCCCCAGCTCAGCATTGCCAGGAGGGCAGGGAGAGAGACAGAGGGAGGTCTCTGTCCCAGAACAGAACCATCCAGATTGCGCCCCCCAGCCATGGACAAATTAGCTCTTCTTTCTAAGGAAGCGGGTGGTCTAAACCACTGAGCCTCTTGGGCCTAACAGGAAGGTCTGCGGTTCAAATCCCCGCGATGGGGTGAGCTCCCGTTGCTCTGTCCCAGCTCCTGCCAACCTAGCAGTTCGAAAGCACGCCAGTGCAAGTAGATAAATAGGTACTGCTGTGGCAGGGAGGTAAACGGTGTTTCCGTGCGCTTTGGTTTTTTGTCACGCTGTTTCGTTGCACCACCAGAAGCTGTTTAGTCTTGCTGGCCGCATGACCCAGAAAGCTGTCTGTGGACAAACACCGGCTTCAATGTATTCCTCTTGTGTTTTATGATTTTCCTGGTATTGTAAGTGAGCTGGAACTGGTATGTGACCGTAATAATAAAATTCCATTCAATTCAAACACTGGCTCCCTCGGCCTGGAAGAGAGATGAGCGCCATACCCATAGTCGTCTTTGACTGGACTTAACCATCCAGGGGTCTTTTACCTTTTTACCTTTACCTTAGCTCTTTTTCTGCCACTTCCTTTTTTAATATAATTTTTAAAATTAATTTTCAACATATCATTTTCAACAGTAATTAAACATATTTTAACATCTTATACAATTTTTGACTTCCATCAATCTCGTCTGAAAATTATCCAATCTAATCTCTAAATATACATTTCCCACTTCTTCCATTACGTTTAGTTCATAACTAATTATCACTACTCTTTCTCTAACTTGCAATGCTTCATACATTTCTCCTTACACACTTCTTGTAGTCCTACTAGCGTAATTTGCTGGTTACAGCTGCACTTCAGATAATTCGTATATTTCTTCCAATCTTCTGTAAATCTCTGGTCCTGCAGGTTTCGAATCCTTCCTGTCATTTTGTCTAATTCTGCGTAGTCCATTAAATTTGTCTGCCATTCTTTTGTCGGACTTTCTGCCTCTCTTCCAACCCCAACCCCCTCCACCCATTTAATTCACCCTCTATTTAAAACCTTTGCTTATGAGGTAATACTCGGTATTTTTCTTTATGGACATATTTTAAGCCGATTTTGCGCCTCCCCACCCATTAGCAACGCCCCGAAGGGGCTGCCTGGGCTTCTCCTGCCCAGGGATCTTATATGGGGTCCGTATGCCCCCCAGACCTTCACGGAAGCTCCATCCTCTCCCCTCTCTCTGTGGGGAGGGAGGGGGGAGAAAGGAGACCCCCCTCTCTCTCAGGCAGCCCCATGTCTCTTCCCACCCCCGAGGCTGGGTCCATCTCTGGGCTTCACAAAGGACCTTGCAAGGCAAACCTGGGCGGGGGGGGAGGGGAGGGACACCCCTGGCTTCCCTGGGTCAGCCCCTCCCCCACTCTCCTGATCCTAAGAAAGAAGTTGGGGGTCCCTTCCTTTTCACCCCCATCCCCTCCCAACCGTTCTGTTTGCAGATTGAAAACCACGTCCTTCTCTCTCCCCCCCCAAACCCAGGTCACCCCCATATATGATGCCCCTCCCGCAGCCATCTCGACCCCCTGCTGTGGGGAGGAGGAAGGAGGGGGGCCCCAGAGGCAGCGCCGTCCCGTCCGCTTCCAATCCCAACACAGGAAAGTGCTGCTCTGCGGACGTAGCTCTAGGGGCAAGCGCATCCCAAAAGGAACCGGAAGTGTCGCTGCTAAATGTGCCGCCAAAAGTGTAGATTCGGAATAGGGAGGAGGGGCGTCAGTGAAGATCCCCCCCCCAATCCCTTTCTATTGCCGACAAAGAAAGCGGACTAATCTGGAGCCAGGGAGGCGGAGGACCAAGAGGTAAAGAGGGAGAGAAGGGGGGGATAAGGGGGGAGGAGGACGAAGATACCCCCCCCCGAAAAGCGCCCTCCCTGGGGCCCGTCGACAGGGGCCCCGATCCAGGCCCCGACCCAGGGGGGAAGGGGGGACCCAACACCTGCAGGGATCTACACCTTGCAAGGTCTCCTGGGCAGCAGCAGCAGCACCGCCAGACTCCCCTTTCTCTTTCCTGGGGGGCCGAGAGATGCTCAGCTGCCCTGCCCCCCCTGGACGCCTTGGCGGGAAGGGGAAGGAGGACCCCAAGCAGGGCTGGGGGTGGGGCTGAGGCCCCCCATTCTCCCGGCTTCCCCCTGGCAGGAATCCCTGGGGTCGTGGGGCGCCTGGCTGGGGAAAGGGAGAGAGGGAGTCCAGGGAAGGGTTAAAGGAAGGGGGAGGAGCCTCGACAGAGACCCCTCCCCTTCCATCACCACTTATTCCCCAGTCTCCCTGCTGGCAGTCCCAGATCATCATTGCCATACAGGATTGTCCTGAATACCACCATTTGCTAGCCAAGCCCAAACCCAAAAGTCCCGCTGAGATGATGATTGATAATATTGTCATTTATCCGTTTCAGACCCCTAAGTAGTAGCAATTGCAAGGACATTGTGCTGCTCTCCTCTGTACAGTTCCACACCTATTTCAGACCTTGTGGCTGATTTAAATGTTTAGCTGCTGATAACATGGCAACATTTAGCAGGTGATATTGTGAGGTTTAGCTGGTGATAAACCACAAGTGATATTGTGAGTTTTGGTAATGATAACATTACAATCTTTATCTGCTAATAGCACTGCAATATTTAGCAGTGCTACTAACATTACAGCATTTAGCTGGTAAGTTATCGCAATGTTGAAAAACAGGTATCGCCTAGCCCTTGCATACATTGTGATTCATAATATATTGCCAGCTCAGTATTAGGAAACAGTTATCACGATGTAAACTTGAAGCTAGTCTTGGACAATATACCAATATATCGCCCAGCTCTAATCATGACCTATATTTCTGACCCAGTGTATCATTGCTGATTTTACCAGTTTGCTCTTTGTTTCCCATTCTGATAGCATCTTGTACATTTTGGAAATCGCTTTCTCTCTACTCACAATAACAGCTCTTTCAAACTTTGAGTAAAATAAACCTCTCCTTTTATCTTGTCTAAACAAGATGATTTGATGGTATTGAAACCAATCTGCCACCACACGTCCCATCTCATCCTGTTTATTCAATTTTATTTCTTCTTCCAAAAATTCCAGAATATCTCTGTAAATTGCCCATTTTCCTTCCGTATTCCATTTTTTTTAAAAAAGGTATTGTTTCTGTGAGTTCCTTTTCTGCTTATACTTTTACTACTTCTACTTTTTTGTCTGTTGTTTGTATTTTCTTTTATTTATTTATACTTTTCACAATCTTTATATTGTACAGATTGTATAGGATGTATGTTAGTACTGTATGTTCTGTGTGCATTTTAAGATTTGTTTTGCTTAATAACATTCAATTTAAAAAGAAAAAGAAACATATAGAGGTTGATTGAGGAAAAATATGGCCCAGAGCTGGAGGATTAGTGTTCATGGACATTTCTGCACTGCTGGGGGTTAGATTAAATGGCCCCCAGGGTCTCTTCCAACTCTCCAGTTCTATGATTCTATGACATGTGGGGGGGGGGGGACATGGAAGGATGTACGAGATGTAAAAATAGGAGAAGGTGCTAATTGAACTTTTATGTGCTTCATATTCTTTTGTTTTCTTCTTTGAAACACGAACAGGAGTTTATGTTCCATGCACTCCAAAGAAAGCAGTAGAGAAGACAGTCAGAATTCTGGGGGACATCTGAAATTTCCTTAGGCTTAACAAAGAAACAATTTAAATGCATTGAAAGTGGCATGTGATTCAGTCACTGAACACACAAACTTCACATCAATGAACTCAAAGAGTGGAGAAACCATTTCAGGCTATGGAGCGTGGAAAAAGCTTCAGTGATAGTGGAACGCCTGGAAAACATCAACAGACTAACACAGGGAAGAAATCATTTAAATGTGTGGAGTGTGGGAAAAGCTTCACTGGTAGCGGAACACTTAGAAGACATCAACGAACTCACACAGGAGAGAAACCATTTAAATGTATGGAGTGTGGAATGAGCTTTACTGATTATAGAACACTTAAAAAACACCATCGGATTCACACAGGGGAGAAACCATTTGAATGTATGGAGTGTGGAAAGAGCTTCAGAGAGAGGTCGCACCTTCACGCACACCAACGAATTCACACAGGGGAGAAACCATATAAATGTATGGAGTGTGGAAAGAGCTTCAGTGATGGTGGAACTCTTAGAGTTCATCAACGGATTCACACAGGGGAGAAACCATATAAATGTACAGAGTGTGGAAAGAGCTTCACTGATAATAGAACACTTAGAAAACATCAACGGATTCACACAGGGGAGAAACCATTTGAATGTATGGAGTGTGGAAAGAGCTTCAGTCAGAGTTCAAGCTATAGAAAGCATCAAAGGACCCACACAGGGGAGAAACCATTTAAATGCATGCAGTGTGGAATGAACTTCACTAATAGTTCACACCTTCGGTCACATGAACGAACTCACACAGGGGAGAAGCCATTTAAGTGCATGGATTGTGGAAAGAACTTCAGGGACATTTCACACCTTCGTGTACATCATCGAACTCACACGGGGGAGAAACCATTTGAATGCATGGAGTGCGGAAAGAGGTTTAATCGGAGTGAAACACTTAGAATCCATCATCGAACTCACACAGGGGAAAAACCATTTAAATGCATGGAGTGTGGAAAGAGCTTCAGTGACAGTGGAACACTTAGAATTCATCAACGAATTCACACAGGGGAGAAACCATATAAATGTACAGAGTGTGGAAAGAGCTTCACTTATAATAGAACACTTAAAACACACCAACGGATTCACATGGAAGAAACCATGTAAATGTATGGAGTGCGGAAAGATCTTCAGTGACAATGGCAAATTTAGAATTCATCAATGGATTCACACAAGGGAGAAACCATATACAGTCATATCTTGGATCCTGAACGCCTTGCAAGTTGAACGTTGTGGCTCTCGAACACCACAAACCTGGAAATAATTGTTCCGATTTGCGAGTGTTCTTTGGAACTGAACATCCGACGCGGCTTCTGCAGCTTCCAATAGGTTGCAGGAGCTTCCTGCAGTTAATCAGATGTTGTGCTTTGTATCTGAATATTTTGGAAGTCAAACAGACTTCCGGAACGCATTATGTTTGACAGAATAATATGAAATTGCTTTCTAAAATGTATAAATTATTTCTGGAAGGCTTTACAAAGATGAACACGTTCAATTTGTCATATGTGGTGGACATGCATGATAGTAAAAGCATTTTGGTAAATGATATATAGTGAATTGAAAAAAAATGTTTAAAATAACTTTTATAAAAAAAACGAAGCTTCTCTTTTAGGACTCAAAGGTGGAGAAATTTCAAGGGAGCAGGAAAGGTTATTCATGTACACAACGATGGCTGCGCAGATGGTATTAGCCCAGAGATGGAAAGAAGACAAAGCCCCTACCAGAGAAGAATGGCAGATTAAGTTGATGGACTGTGCCAAATTGGCATGTGAATTTAAATAATAATTGGAAAATTTAATAAATAGATTTCCAGAAAAAGAGAGGAAAACATAGAATTCATTAACAGATTCACACAGGGGAGAAACCATATAAATGCACGGAGTGTGGAAAGAGCTTCACTGAGACTTGAAACCTTAGAAAACATCAAGGAACTCACGTGGAAAAACCATTTAAATCTATAAAGAAAAAGCTTCAGGCAGAGTACAGAGCTTGATATGCATCAATGGACCCACAGAGGAGAGAAAGCATTTAAATGCATGGTGTGTGGAAAGAACTTCATTAGAAGTGAAAACCTCAGACAACATCAATGGACTTTCAAAGGGGAGAGACCATTTCAATGTATTCAGTGAGGAAAGAAGTTTATTGATACTGTAATGGAAAACTTAAGAAGACCTCAAGAAGCTCAGACAAGAGTGAAATCATGTAAATATCAGGAATATAAATAGAATTTCATTCAAAGTTTCAGTCTTTAATGTATAGACATGTAGGTAGGGTCTCACAATAGCAAGCATAATGTAAGATTGAATGTACTGTAATGTTACATAGGGAGGGAGAGAGTGTAAATCTTCTTACATCCCCAAGGTAATATTGCAAACCGCATATATTCTTTATATTTTATAAATTAATTGTGTTGCAACACCTCCTCATACTCCGCTACATGAAGTGTCCAGATAAAATGTTATCTCTGCACAACCTGCATGAGGGAGGGGAGGCAGTGCCTGAACATCTCAAAGGAATGCCAGGGCGGAGTGTGATGACACAGGTTTGTGCAAAATGCTTCACTGTGAGCTCGAATATCTATCTATTCCCTGAATAACAGACAGGGGAAAACCATACAGATGAGTGTAATGATGGCCTATACCGTATTTTTTGCTCTATAAGACGCACCAGACCACAAGACGCACCTAGTTTTTGGAGGAAGAAAACAAGAAAAAAAATATTCTGAATCTCAGAAACCAGAACAGCAAGAGGGATCGCTACGCAATGAAAGCAGCAATCCCTCTTGCTGTTCTGGCTTCTGGGATAGCTGCGCAGCCTGCATTCGCTCCATAAGACGCACACACATTTCCCCTTTTTAGGAGGGAAAAAGTGAGTCTTATAGAGCAAAAAATACAGTAAATGTTTAACATGGAATGTGAATGGACTAAATACAAAAGCCAAAAGCCATAAGATAACATGCATTAAGAAAGCAGAAATTAGATTCAATAAGCTGGATCCATCTCTGGGCTTCACATAGGGTCCTGCAGTGCACACCAGGGTGGGGGTGGGAAACCCCACTTTGCGGCTAGCTTGCCTGGATCAGCCGCTCCCCTGCCACCCTGGCAGCTGCCCCCCATGGCTATGTCCATGTGCTGAGACCCAATCCATCTGCATCCAAAGATGGTAAATGCATGAACATTTCCAGCTTGGGTGCTTCCTGGGCAAAGGACCCATTTTCATGATAGACAATACCTGTGGCTGGAGGCTCTACACACAGGTGTGCATATTCAGGCCAAAGTTTGCCAGTATTATAGGCAAGGTGGGTGAGTTTGCCAAATTTACAGGCTGTACACAAGTAAGAGTTAGTGCAGAGGTTGGCAACCTATGGCCCATGGGCCGGTAGCGGCCTGTAGATGTCACCCGACCGGCCCGTGATGACCCCTGCCACCCGCCGCCATCCACTCTTACCGACACGGCACAGCGTGGGGACCGACTTCTGGGTTGATGGCGCCTTTGCGCTTGTGCACAGGCGCTCCTCCGACCTGGACGTGTGCCTGAAATAATGTGTGCAAACGCATGCGGGATGGAGATGCGCCCATGTGCACTTGCTATTGCCGTGCACATCTGGGTCGTTATTTCTGTGCACACCACCAACCCAGAAGAGTGCGCATGCGCACACGCTCCAGTCCATCCTCTGGCTGGCGGAGTGTGGACCGGCCCATCAGCTGATAAGCTTGCTGTCCCCTGAGTTAGTGGATGAATTATAGGTCACAGCAACCCTGTTATATTTTCCTGTCTGTATGAGTTTGACCAAACTGCGGGAGGCAGTGGAGGACAGAAGTGCCTGGCGTGCTCTGGTCCATGGGGTCACAAAGAGTCGGACACGACTAAATGACTAAACAACAACAACAAC